CCCAGGTCGAAATAGCTATGTCGGATCCTGTCGGATAGGTTTCAAATCCGTTGAGATACGGGTAATCGGATTCGGTCGGTTACTTTTTGTCGGATTCCGATACTATCCACTGTTTTCCTTTGATATCCGCCGGTCGGATTCATCGAGCTCCGACTAGATTCATATATTCGGAACTGGTCAGATCCGATCTCAAGATCTGTTCGCTTCCGGTGGGATTCCAGCGAATCTGATGTCAAGAAATGGCCGGATTTTGCGGTTTCAAATGACACCGGATTCCATGATAAAACCGATCAATCACTGGTATCGGAACTTGTCGGATTATATAAGAATGCAGAATACCCAAGCCGATCTCACACCATCGGATCCGATGGAAATTAGTCGGAAGTTGTCGGATGTTGGAAAGTGTCGGATTTTCAGAGTTCCGACAAGATCCCGGCCACTTCCGACACTTTCCGACATCCGACAACTTCCTGTCGGAATCCGATACCAAGGATTCCGACGAATTGCCATCGGATTTGATAAAATTCGATAATTTTTCCGATAGGATCCGACGAGATCCGACTGTCGGATTGTTCGTTCTGGGTATCCAGTATTATTTTCCATGTAGTCAGATTCATGAATTAGAATATATTCTGACAGATCAATCCGCTAATCATCTAATAAGATGTTTCTCTTTTTACAAATTTTCAACAACAAAATCAAAAATCTGGAAATCCGATTTCGTCCAGATTTCATTCACCGTTTTGTTCTACAGATATCGATCTATATAAAGAAGTCTATACTTTAATATTTTGAATGAATTTCCAAAGTGTTGCTTAGATTAATTTTACTTCAAATGATTTGTTTTCCTTATACAATTATGTTTTCCACGCAATTGGATTCTTGAATAAGACTATATTCTGACGGATCAATGAGCTAATCAATTAATTAGATATTCCTCTTTTTACAAATTTCCAACAGCAAAATCAAAAATCTGGAAATCCGATTTTGTCCAGATTTCATTCACCGTTTTGTTTTACAGATATCGATCTATATA